CTTTCGCTGGTCTGAAAGACCACAAATTGAAAAACATGAACTGTCTGAATCCATTTGTGTGAGGGGGCTTCACTCAATCGGTGGAAACATAAGATTCCAGCAGGCAAAACCTCAATCAGAAATCCAAGCAAAGATGCATGTCATGCGATGGACATCCAAAATCAAACCGTACATGCAACAAGCAATCATGGCATCTAAATGATGCATCGCTGCCCATGGAGGTCGACCTCCCTCGGATTCTTTTCGGCTGGACAAGTGGTATGTGGTGATAGGTGAAACAGTGACGAAGTGGCCCTCAGGTTGAAAGTTGGAGTGGTGGGGATTCACGTCTGTCTGGTGGAGTGGAGTTGATGGACCAGGCCAGGCCCTTCACGATTGCGTTGTCTGGGTGAATCACCCAGGATCTGGCTTTGGCGTGGCAAACGGCACCGTGGTTCTGGAGGAGCAAGTTCATTGCATGTTCTTCGCCTCCGCTGGTGAATTTGGTGCCTTGGCCCCAGGCAAGGAGGTTGATAATGATTGAGTGTGTGTTCTTTGCGAGGTTCCATGCGTTGTGGAGAATGCGTGCGTGTTCTGCGTTGTCGCGCTATGGGTGGTGTGTGATGCGTGTGGCTTGGGCGAAAAAGCCTGGGTTGTTGGCAAAGTGGAGTGTGCTGGGGAGGAAGCGGCCCTGTTGTAGGATGTTGCTGATGTTGCCACGTGGGCCAGTGTGGCCTGCGTTGATGTGCACCATCTCTGGTGTAGTAGATGTGGCACGTGTGGCAGGTGGTGGGAAGCTGCGGGTTGCTTTCTGGACAAGGCTGGGGATGGTGATGCAGTGGTATTGGTAGATTTCGTGAGTGTTGGTGGTGTCGTTCCATTTTATGTGAGTGAATTGGCGGAAATCTGATAGATCTTTGTAGGTGAAACCGCTGTCAAGCAGTAGTTTGGCGATGTAAGTGTGTTGTGGTTTGTTGGGTGCCTCAAGCTGATCAGCATGATAGTCAAGCCATAGCTCAAGCTGTTCCTGTGGAGTGCGTTGCTGGAATTGAGAAAAAGGTCGCCATGGTTTGGTGGGCCGACGTAGATCTGGAATGTTGGGATAGTCAGATTGCGACATGTTGGTGACAGCATCTTGTTGTATGGAGTCGTTGTTGGGTAGAAGGGAGATGGGTGCTCGGGAGCGACTGCGTGAGCGGCTGTAGGAGTAGGTGGAATAGGGGGAAGAAGGTGAGCGGTGGCGGTGGTGGCGGGTTGAAGAGGCGTGTCGTACGGTTGAGTGTGCAGTGTGGTGGCGGTGCGTGCGCCTGCCTCGAGTATGGTGGCGATGATGGTGGCGATGGTGGCGACGATGGTGTCTGCGGTGGCCGCTGCTTTGGAGGCTGGGTGCTGTGGATGCGTGGGTTGGGGAAGCGGCGACACTGTGCGGGTGTGTTGGTAACGGAAGCGACGGTGCCCTGCCTGAAGGAGCGGAAGCTGAAGGTGGTAGTGGACCTGAAGGAGGAACTGGAGACTTGTGCTCGGTGTCAGGGCGATCTGCTTGTGTAGGGAGTGTTGGAGTGGGGAGTTGAGGGTGCTGTGGAGGCTGGTGACTGGGGGCCAGGAGTGGCTGCAGCTGAGGTTGAGGCGAGAGGCGCAACCGGAACTGGGTCTGGTGGAGATGCAGCGGTGATCCGGTGATCGTTGAAGGTTGAGTCGGCTGATTTTGTGGTGTTTGGTGGGCGACAGGTGGGAAGACGGAGAAAGGTTGCCACACGCCTTGAGCATAATCCCATTGTATTGGTGTCGGCTGGCCCTGTGGTAATGGAGCCGGGTGTGCATGAGGCACTGGTGCATGAGGTAGTGGTGCTGGTGGTTGGTGTAGTGGTGGTTGAGTGGAGATCATGGCCCGAGGTTGTGCTGGCGAAGGCTCCGGTGGAGGCAAGGTATAGGAGACAGGAAAGGTATGGTGATGTGGTACGAGTTGCATCGGTGGGTGGATGTGTGGTTGCGGTGAATCATGGGAGACATATGCGGCTGCGTCGGTTGGATGGGAACGGTGTGTACTGTTGTAGGAGGTGGTTGTGGAGGCCAGTGCGGGTAAGGCCATGGGTACTGCATGGTGTCGCTGTTGTTGGTAGCTGAGGTCTCACTCTGAATTAAAGGACCGGATAACACCACATATGAATCTTTACGAATCTGAAGGCTCTAAAGCACAAAGCAGTCAGAGTCTCAATAGCTTCTACAACACGGCCTTGTCAGGAAGTGATATCAGCTTCCGACAACAGAGGGGTGGGAGAGAAGGTGTAAGAGAGTGATGTGCACGACGGATGTACGAGGTATTGTGCACACAGGTGTGCGCAGCCACAACTAGCCAAAGTAAAACCCCATCGCTCTGCCGACGCAAAACCCCATAGTCAAACTCTTTTTCATCGCGCAAATGAAATCAGGTCGTGTTGGTGAACCTGGGCGATGGCATGAGCGCTACATTCAAAAGACATCACTCTAGGAACAAAATCTGCTGTAAAAGTGAAGACCAAAGACTTTGGATAACTTCGTTTGTCACTGCCAGCACATCATTCGCGCCTTGGAAAGATAGAATAACTTCATGTACTGCCGTACCTGCACATGGCCGATCTTTCGATAAAAGCAAAGCAGCACTCCACATAGAAACAGTGAACTGTAGGAAAGCAGGCGCTTTTTGTTTCTAGGTTTTGTCCTTGACAGCACACGGAAACTCCTTTTCTTCATCGCGCAGACGAAAGGGTTAGTATCTGCAAGAGGATGGCATCTGCTCTGCCAAGCTTTCCAAGTGGGATCGTATCTGCAAGAGGATGCTATGCTCATCTGCGTCACAGATCTGTAACAAGATGTAGGTGCGAAGTGGCATCTGCCCTGCAGTGCTTTCCAAATGGGATCGTATCTGCAAGAACATGCTCTATACTCTCTGGCCCTGCTGACCAATGTGACGAAGGGCCACGAGCAGTGGACGAAGAAAGGGCAATTGCCCTGGATTTGATGAATGAGATCCACCGCATTCCAATGCACAAGATTGGGTTCTTGCAGACCAGCGTCTCTGCCAAATTTAGAGATGGATCCAGTCTTGAGGAGTGCGTGTGTCAAATAGATTCGGGGGATCTCGATCCCAGCGCGCACCCGAATTTTGTGCTGAACCTCGTGCGGGCCAGTCGCAGCGACCTCTATTGGACTCTCGACCACCGGCGCTTGTTAGCTATGCAGATTGCCGGTTGCAAGATGGCACGGGTTGGCGATGTAGGGCGCCAAGGAGAAGTGTTGTGGAAGGCAATCGCCTTGGGCATGACACGTGGATTGCTGTGCGTCCCTCGTGACGAGCTTGTCTGTCGAAGGGCCAAGGAGCCAGTTGAAAGCCAAGAGCCAGAGGGGAAAACATGACCACAGTGGTGCGCTGGAAGACAGTGAGGTTCGGAGCGTGTGCGCAAGAAATCCGGAACGCACATAGTCACGCTCCCCTGCGTGTCCTTGAACACACTCGTCAGAAGAGTGTCATCATGCAAGTCGCTATGATCTTCAGTAAGCCATTTCTGCTGGAATCTTGTCAGCCCGAGGAATATCAGAAAATGCGGAGCATCAGGATCTGTCCCGCAGTGCTTTCCAAAGCAGGTGCGAAGTGGCATCTGCCCGGCAGTGCTTTCCAAATGGGACCGCATCTGCGAGAAGATGCTATGCTCGTCTGCGTCACAGGTGCGAAGTGGCATCTGGCCTGCAGTGCTTTCCAAATGGGATCGTGTCTGCAAGAGGATGCTATGCTCTCATCTGCGTCACAGGTGCGAAGTGGCATCTGTCCTGCAATGCTTTCCAAATGGGATCGTATCTGCAAGAGGATGCTACGCTCATCTGCGTCGCAGATCTGTAACAAGATGTAGGTGCGAAGTGGCATCTGCCCTGCAGTGCTTTCCAAATGGGATCGTATCTGCAAGAACATGCTATGCTCTTCTGCGTCGCAGAGCTTTGTTGCGAAGTGGCATCTGCCTTGCAGTACCTGGCAGTACTTCGAAGGTCGGCAGTCTGGCTCAACTCCTCCGCACCGACTGCACGACCTACAGGCCGCGCAGCCCTGGCAGTTCCCAAGTACAGCGCTTGCCTCATAGCGCTAACGTCCAGAAAGGTCCACGCGCTCGGCGCCACTCTATGCTCTTGGATCAACAAGTGAAAGTATCGCTGCACCCACGTGGTCGGCTTGTCCTTGAAGAGTCTTTTCGCTGCCCTTTTCCACGCTACTGTCAATGTGCTCGTGGATCATTGCTGCAGGAAGACGCTCATGCGCGCCCAACACGAACATCCCATTGCTCGCGTAGACGCAGAGCGCCGTCTCGGCATCGTTCTGCTCTCTTTTGGAATTCTGCCACACGAGCGACAATGGACTCAGGAGGGCCCCGCTCCAAAATCTCGCGAGGAGGTGGGCGCAAAAGAAGTAGATCATCGAGAGATGTGACTCTGGAGAACATGACATACAAGTGGAGCCACCAATTGTCGTCATCTAACTCGGGCAAGCGCGCACAATCAACGATCGTGCCTGTGCGCAGGGTCAAGCCTTGCGAAGCAGTGCTGGTCAAACACTGGGCATGTGTCACTTGAAAACCACAACGGCGAACTTCGTGCTTCTGCGTGCTGGAAAAGAGGACTTTCACTTCAACTGCGGGTAAGAACCAAAAACTTTTCGCCAGCTCAGCTTGCAAGCCTCTTCATCTGTTTGAACATGCTTACGACACATCGCTTGAAGTTCTTCCCAATCCGGGCAGCCTGAATACCCTTTTACAGAGACCCACAAACCGGAAGGTAGAAAGCGAGGATAAAACATTTCACCAGGGGCGGTTTGGCGGTAAGCTTCTCTGTCAAGACTGTGAAACTCAAAATCGATTATCTTAGCCTGGGTATCTTGGACCATACCTGCATCACCATCGAGCTTTGCTAGAAAGCGTATGTCCATGCCGACATGACAAGGAAACATGCCGCGCATGTGTCCTGTCTTGTTGGGATTAGTCATGTTCAGAAAGCGAAAAGCTGTGTCTTGTTTGAGGCCACAACATTCATCGGCAGCTTGCAGCACGACCAACGGAACCTGTAACTCTTTAGCATCCAGAACAGCGCGATGCGACAACGTGCGCGCCAAAGAACTCCAATAGATGGACATGCAATATCCATAGCGAAACTTGTCTTCAAAAAAGCGAGGGTCTGGGACACCAGGCTCGGCGTCTTTTGCAAAACGGCCTTGGAATTTCCGCCAAAGAGGCGTTGGCAACTTCTTCCCCTGTCGCATGCACTGCAGTAGGTCGATCAAAGGACAGCGTCGCCGGCGCCCACACCCGACCAGAGCCGACCAGCGCCGACCAAGCAACCACCAGACCCTCCAACGGAGCCAGATCTACTGCGATCTACAATGGGACAGCGTCGCCGGCGCCCACACCCGACCAGAGCCGACCAGCGCCGACCAAGCAACCACCAGACCCTCTAACGGAGCCAGATCTACTGCGATCTACAATGGGACAGCGTCGCCGGCGCCCACACCCGACCAGAGCCGACCAGCGCCGACCAAGCAACCACCAGACCCTCTACTTGGATGTGCGGTTGGGGTTATAAGTAGATAGCCTGGTTGTCCAGCTTATAAGTGCACTTACTAACCAACATAGCCTACATACTAAGTCGAACTTAGTCGGACTCAGTGTTGAACTTAGTGTTGAACTTAGTGTTGAACTTAGTTGGACTTAGCCAAGTGGCCTATATTCAACGTGTTGTACTTAGGTCGAACTTAGTCCAACATAGCTAAGTGCAACTAAGTAGAACATGTTCAAAAAAAATCACTTGGCTAAGTTCGACAAGTTGGACTTATGACGCGCCAAGTGCTGATACTGTATCTAAAAAACAAAAAACATAACACTAGTGGAACGAAAACTAAGATAAACATATTGGTTTGCGATAACCATAAATCAAAAAACGCAAAAAACACATTGTGAGAGCTACAAAAAGCGGAACACAAATATATTTTCGGCTGTTGAGTATGTTTAATATATACCCGCAACGCAACGGTTGCAGTGGCGTTTTGGGTATATATTCAAGGCTTTTGACCCTATATCCTTTTCGAAAACATATATAGAGTGATCCAACCAATACATATAGAAAAACAGTCGGGAAGAGTGATCACAAACAAAAACACATCGCACAATATATACATTAAAACCATATGAGGAAGAGTAACACAAAAAGTAACACATACAGAAACATGTTAGGAAGAGTGATTCCAAAAAACTACATGGTGCATATACAGTTTATATTCAAAAATAAAACACATCTTACGTATAGAAAACAATGTTAGTAATAATGATCCAAAAGAACGTCCTACATATAGAAAAAATGTTAGTAAGAATTAAAGTTTTAACACAACGTACATATACAGTGGAACCATATTAGGAATAGTGATCTTTAAAAAAAATGATATTAAACTCTGCGCGCTTATGTGCCACCATGTGCAACCACAAAATGTGGTTCTTGCAAAGTATGATGCCACGTCGAATACCCAAACAGAAGGCTATATTCCACGCAAACAATTCCACAGTCTATAGTATACGACGTTGGAATTGGATTTGAGCCATGGAGTACTGCATGAAATGAAATCATATATCCGCATCCCGTGAGTTGGATTTGGCCTGGGCATTGTAAAACTGTCAGATGAAATTAACTGAACATTGACGCAGTTCAGCATTGATATACATGGCAAAATCACTTCCGGATGTTAGATAGCCAAACTTTAGAGCGTTCAAGATAAAACACAACGATACAACACACCAATCGATGTCAATCTGCCATGCCCTGAATCCACCTATACTGCCTGTTATAACCTGTGTCAGCGAGCCGGTGCAAGGAAACACTGTTGCATTATACCACACAATTAGAACACGTGTCTCGCAAGGGTCTCAATGACACATAAACACAAACAAAACACATATAAACACAAACGAAAAAACACATAAACAGGTCACACTTGCGTAGAAGAATCTGGCATGGATGAATTTCCCGGTCGCCGCACGTTTCTTTTCATTCTCTCTGCTGCATCATCAGACTCGTCATTCCTGGCAAGTGCTCGGCTCGGTGGGATGGAACAACGGATGAAACAAATCACTGCAAACTGGTTGGCAGGGCTTGGCATTTGCGGTTTGTTGTGTATATCTGAAATTCTAGAACTACTATATATCCAACAGCAAGGAACATCCTATATATAAAAACTATTAAGAACAGTGATCCCAAAAATGAGCATTAGAATCCTGGTGCGGCCAAAAAACGTGGTTCTTGCGACCAAACAGAAGCCTATATAATCATGGACCCTCTCCTGACAAACGTTTCAATTAATGAAGCGCTATGTATACGTTTCGATGTTTAATTGAGGAACCACACAATTGTGTCTCGCAAGGGTTTCAATGACATGAACGCACTCACAAAAAAAGAACAAACGAACAAACATATAAACGAAATATGTGTCTACTATAGGTCACATCTGCGTAGAAGAATCTGGCATAGATGAATTTCCCGGTCGCCGGCCTCCGCAAATGTCCAAACACCTCCGTCATGTCTGCGTTGGATATAGCCTGGCAGCGCCAGGCTATATCCGAGTGAGCTCTAGCGGAACGACGCGGGGTGTGCTCGGTGGGATGGAACTATAATGGATGAGCAGGTTGGAACGGTATATACCCTGAAGGGTAGATGGCAAGAAAGATCACCCAAACCATATAGGCATTCCATCCTACCAAATCAATTGCCTGGTTCCATGCAAGTGTTCTATATATATATATATTGCCTCTGTATCCCGAGCGCCTGGCAAAAAGCCAGTGATGGAGAGGTCATAGATCCAGTGAAGGCATAGATCCAGCGAAGGCGAGGTTGTCGTTGGAGGCCTCTAAAGAAGTTGAACGCTTCGTGCCATTGAAAGCTTCGTGCCATTCCATCGTATGGTTGGATATACAGGTGTGGTACAGTATGTATATACAGTATGTATATATATAATGTATTCGGGCTCCGGATCAAAACAATCAGCCCTCTGGTGTCTTCAGCCCTCTGCATCCCTCAGGTTTCATTCCTCTTCAGCCCTCTGCTTCCCTCCCTTTTGCTGTGAGAAGAGCTATATACTAATTCCACAAGTCGCGCCCGCACATTTAACACGTCCTGGATCGTACTGAGAAGTTCACACGGAGGGGCGCCTGCAGGGATTAAAACCACCAAAGTTTCATTCCTTTCAGGTACCGGGAGCAACTCCCACTGACAGCGTCGAGGAATGAAACAGACAAACAAAATAAACGTAAACATGTCTGAACATGTCTGAGCTGTATGATGCGTCCCCTGTGCGGCGCCCCCCTCAGTGGCAACTCCTTTCAGCAAACAGGTCGAGGATTGCGTGAAACAAAGCAAACAACTTCAATCCTGCGCAGGAGCAATTCCTTCCAGCAAACAGGTCGAAGATTTCCGTTAGAATTTTTGAGGCACAATCTTTACGACTCCGTTTGGCAAAGTGTGCCAAATGAGGCAGCCATTCACGCATGTTGTTGGATACCACTTCTGACTCTTGTCAGGACGCAGTTCATTCACCCCTGACACTGGCCACACCGACACGCATGTGAAAGCTTTACCATTTTGCAAAGCATGCATCTCAACTTTGCCAAAGTTGACTTGACCGTCCGTAGGATCCTCGAACAAGACCACGTCTCCAGCCATGCAATATGCACCGGAAATAAGAACTGCAGTTCTCGATGTGGACTCAAAACCCGCATTTGCAGGAGCCGCTCGCAGAGGTGGCTCCAAGTAGCACACGGTGTCTTGTAAAGGGTCAAGAGCTTGGAGCTTCTGCAGCTGCGATAGCGTGATCTCCTGTGCTGGACGCAACATGGTTCGTGTGGAACCCCAAAGAACACGTAAGCCAACCAATGGTCATAAAACACACCAAATCAACAATGTGAAATCAACAATGTGGAACACCACAAGGACATGCATATATATATATATATAGATAGATAGATATAAGCGTCAATAAAAACGTGTGACATACCGTTGTTGCCGAAGTTCCTCCAAAATTTTTCTGTCAAACCATGGCCCAGTGTTGTGTAAATTGTCTCCATACCTCTTTATCTCCTTGTGCCGTCTCTCGTGGCAAAAGCAGCTGAGGATAAATTTCTGATCCCTCAGGCACTTCCCCAAATGAAGCATCAGGTGATGCTTGGGGACGACAGGTTCGTGCCCATGGGCCTTCACAAACCTCTTCAAATATGTTTGGGTCAAAGTTTCCAACCGACCAGCGTCCACGGCATCTCTCATTGACATATGCAACAGTTCAATCAAATCCATCAACGTCAAAAAACTTTTGGCCACATCGGCGTCAGGGCCTCCTTCAGAATGAACACCCAATTCAAACATATAAGATCTCAAGGCAGCATAAAGGCCCAAGCCGTCTGATGCTGTGCATGAAAACGAATCGCCTTCAAACTCGAAGGCCCCAATGTGGTTGCGTTCCATCTTTTTTGGCCAATTGAGTGAGCTCCTTGCAAGGAGATTGAAAGGAAAGGAAACAGCTTTGGGCGTCATGTACTTAGCTGGGCGATGCTCCTGTGACCAGCCCCGATATACATATGTATTGAAATACATAGTTGGAGTGATGATACGATTTCGGTTGATGATGATACATATGTATTTATTCATTATACTACTTGGAGTGAAATACATATGTATATGTTACGGAGGTTTGCTTTAGCAAAGGGACCATGCAGTAGCCAAAAGCAGTTGCGAACACACACACCTTTACTTAATGATCGGCCAGGTATCAGGAACGGGTGAATGCGTTCATAAGAAAAGCCTCTGGAGGACAACCTGCCCAGTGCCAAGTTGATCTCCAGCTGGAACAATGCATCCAATCGTATAGGATCATCTCCGCTGGTTTGAAAACACTACGCAAGTTTTCATCCCACAATACAGAGCGCGGTGTCCAGTTGAGACCAATGGACTGCTCCAGCTCTGCAAAATCCTTTTTGGTCAAAATGTTCTTCCGGCTGTTCAGCAAATTCACGCCTGACCATATGCTCGCATTGCTGGCAGCACGGAAGCTTTCAAAGCGGTGGGCGCTGTGTGCAACCAGCTCCGGGTGGTGTCTCCACAGGTCTGACCGGAAGTTCACACAGTTCCTGCAAAGAAGGCAGGGTTTGTTCCCAGCACTTCCTTTGTGACCGATGCAGTGTTTGATCGCCGGTTCGTCGCCGATTAGTGCCCTTGGCTTTG